AATTATTGCTACATGACTCCATCAGGATCCAGATGTCAGGATGCTAGACTGTGCTCTGTATTATTGGTCTAAATTGTGTCCACTTATATTTTGGCCTCAATACTTATAAAGAATACTAACTGAAATTTGCATTTTTTCTTTTATCCAAAATAGCTGATGTATAGGAAGCATTTGCCAAAATGTCAGCCTCACCCTGATTTCTGCTACAGTTACTACCTTACACCAGAAGTATCTCTCAGAGATGAATCTCGTCATGAGTGACATTTCTCTGTAAACACTGAAGAAGCCAGGATTCCTCTGCAGCGGCTTGCTGATACTTCTGTTACTGATGTAGCATTCCCAGGTAGAAATCAGTCATACAGGTGTCAAGCATACCTGCCACCAAGGAGAAAAAGACTGTTAACCTGTGATTTCTCAAATTATTGTGATTGCCCAGGTGACCTCATCTTGGTGATAACCTTCCCCACACTCTCTATTGTCTATGCCTCTTTAAGGAAGCCTCCTGCTCTCTTACAAAGACAAACCAAAGGACAAAAGAAAACCACTTTTGAGTTGTTTGCAAGTGGAGACCAAGAAACTAACAAAGGAGTACAGTCTATTACCATCACACTTGGTTGACTCCAATAAGTGACAGGTAAATTCCCACTGTAGAAATCACTGCATTGATTTGGATCAAGGAGAATTTGAACTTGAATACATAAAACTTTATTCCTGAGAACTAGCTTTCAGAGACCAGGAAGGGAGGAAAGTGTTAAATTCTCCAGCCTAGTTATAATGCCATTTCCAACATGGCAAGATAACATTAAAGATAAACTAGTGGCTCTTATAGCTTATCCAGAACTATTAGTTACTTGATGGCATCCAGGTCATGCCTACCAAGGAAGCCTCCTGCTCTCTTACAAAGACAAACCAAAGGACAAAAGAAAACACTTTTGAGTTGTTTACAAGTGGAGACCAAGAAACTAACAAAGGAATACAGTCTATTGCCATCACACTTGGTTGACTACAATAAGTGACAGGTAAATTCCCACTGTAGAAATCACTGCATTGATTTGGATCAAGGAGAATTTGAACTTGAATCAAACTTTATTCCTGAGAACTAGCTTTCAGAGACCAGGAAGGGCAGGAAGTGCTAAATTCTCCAGCCTAGTTATAATGCCATTTCCAGCATGGCAAGATATCATTAAAGATAAACTAGTGGCTCTTATAGCTTATCCAGAACTATTAGTTACTTGATGGCATCCAGGTCATGCCTACCAAAAAAAAATCATGCCTCATAATGTAAAACAGCAAAGGTCATGTGAGGAATGACGCCATAGAAATTAGAGGAAATTCACTACTTCCATAAACCATTATAATTCCTAACTGTATTGCAACTCTGTCCTTATACACAAAGAACATTATTGACCTAAGAACACTAATGGGATTCAGTACATTCTGTTTATATATGATTCTGTATGTGTGTGCGTGCGTGCATGCATGCGTGCATGCGTTCATGTGTGTGTGTGTGTGTGTGTGTGTGTGTGTTCATGAGTTCTGTGTATAATCAACAATGATAATGAAGAGGAATGAGGAATACACAGAAAGGGTGTTAGGAACAGAGATGTGGAAATTATATATACACTAGTCTTCTACAAAGTAGTTAATTTCTTACAATAAAAAAACAGGAAGGGGTCTTAGAAAGGATAGATTCAGCAGAGAGTAGGAAGAGATGAAGAAAAGATATGAAATGAAGAAAACTTTCTGTACAAATGTATGAAAATTATATTATTAATAAAGATTAATGCAAGATGAGAAAAGATTCAACAGATCAGGTCAGGTATGCAGTTGGAATTTCATGAAATTAAGTGGAAGGTAATACCTATAATCCTAAAAGGTAAAGTGATTCCCCAATAGTTTCAAAGGAATATATTCTAATGAATGCCACTTTTTAGTACATTTACTGGAGACTGTGCTAAGGGAAATTACTGGAGAAAATGAAGGGCAGGTGTTTCTAAGGCAAGAAATATAAACTACATATAGGTGGAAAAAACATCATGGGATTTCTACAGAAATATTATGATATGTACAAAAATTATGGAGTTAAAACAATGGTGAGAAATAAAGCTAATGCACAAAAAAACAAAAAAATAATTGAGTTTTACACACATGAAAGAAACAGTGAAATATGAAAGGAAGAAAGCCCCACAAAATACAATACCACCAGGTTGGTGTAGTGACTGTATCTTCAGTGAAAACTTCTCAGGAGAAGGCAGAATAGGCCATCCTCTGTGGCTGTGTCGGATCATGATGAGCAGAGTGATGAGATCATGTGTCAACATCATAGAAGGAAAAAGAACATGTTTAAGAACAAATAGTAATGTGCTCACTCATATAGGGATTTTAGATATAGAGCATCAGTATACCAGCCTACAATACACATGGCACCCCCAGCCACCA